ATGGATTTACGACATGGTCGTCAGTGACCAATCAGAAACGTCAAAACACAGGTTCGAAATGACGCTACGGCCGACGTTTGGGCGAAACGACCATGCAATAAAAGTCCGCATCACAATTACCAGGCGACGCCTGGAGAAGGTTTGTCCTGTAGCTGTCTGCAATGTGAACAAAGGAAGACAGGTAATGCAGCTGAGACAAGGCAAATATCTGGAATGCTCATTGAAAAATGAATCGAAATGAGTATCGAGCATGATATGAGGATTCCTCCATCCACCGTTGCGGTTGGAAGGAGGCAGGGTGAAATACGTCATAGTGCTCAGGTGCGAACAGCAGGGACAGGACAGCGTCCTGTTCTGGTGTGGTCAAACCTAAATTGGCGATATGTCCACCGAAGTTGGCTGATGCCAGCTGCTTGCTGCTGCTATTCACTTTGACCCCTCATCTGCTATAGCTGACTAAAAATCACCATAAGGTATAAACGGTGCATAAACAAGTCGCGTTTCGTTTCTACAGCGCCTTCTTAAAGTATCCCAAACCAATGGATATTCAAGGATAACATTGGAAGTGAACTCTTGCATCGCAGCTGACACTTGGAGAAGCCATGTCAAAACAGGTCTACGGTAATTTTGCCAAACGTACCCCATTTGTCTGAGTCAATCAGACGATACCTCAATTAGGTGAGACTTAGGGTCTATTATTAGACCGCCATGATTCTAGGACTGCTGGTATTCGGTAAGTGTACACTGAGCAACCCTGAGGAGGCGCGGAATGCGATAAGACATACATAAAACCTACCAGAAATTGAATATCTGGGTAACAAACAATTTCTTTGCAGTCTTCCAGAGCAGCCTAACTATTCAGATATTGCTGACACTCCTTCAAGCAGATGAATGTGTCTGCAACTTACAAAGACCTGTCAAGGCTTGGTCATTTGATAACGGAGTCCCAACACATTTTGGCTATGAATCCATCGAATGTACAATGAGTATACTCCTCCATCTTTGTGATAAGGGAAAGCTGTGGCGCTATCATGAGTTTGATAACAAATTTTCGAACAGCGTAATGAGCAATTGAAATTAAACCCTAAAACTGTGAAACTCATTAGCATACTGATTAATGTCTGGCAGTAATTTACCATTCGCTTCAAATCGAGGTGCTTTGTATTTAGAAGGCGTTCACTGCCTGCACATCAGTTAGTCAGTCAGATATATGTTGGTGGACCTAAGACACACGGTAAATTGCCAAAACCTTGATATAGCAAGTGAACGAACACAAAACAATAAAACAAGCTGTGAAAGAGTTGTACGACGAAGACGCTACGGCTGCATGTTCCCTGAACCACGAATCAGCAAGTCAACGGTAATTAAACGCTTTCTATTCTACCGGAAGTGATTGTCAGGAAATGCCTCTGTAGTCCAGCGATTGAAAGGGCGGTCGATGAGCGACTACACGGCTTCAATTCCGAAAGAGCCTTCAATCAAAGACGTTTGTGGGATCATGGAACGAAACCGTTGCCTTAGAAAAAGTTTCTCTGCTCCTAGCGTTGCAAAGATCTGGTCGCTGAGAGGGATGAATCCACGCAAGACGCCCTAAGTTGAGATATTACTTTCAGTAGTTAATAAATGCCGTCGAAAGATGGCATGGAATGGAGACAGATCGAAGGCAAATCATCAGTCATCGGCTCATCATCAGTCATGCAAACAAATGACTCAAAACAGCAACCAGGAAAGACAGACATGCGAAAGGCCACAGACTTCTTTCCTGTCATATTGTCCTCTTCGCGTAGACAGAATCGTGGTAGCATACCCTCACTGAGGTACGACAGAAACTTGTCGAGTTTTCCGAGTTGTCCCATGATATCCTTTGGAAGGGCGTAAACCTCGCGACACGGCGATGCCGAATTACAAGGGAAATGTAATTGAACAGAATAACCGGATTGCGGCGGACGGCCTTCGCCCACATACACGATGTCAAACGGGTTCGCAGTCGGTCGGTCTGCCAAATACGCATTGGGGCCGAGACCCGTCATTTGACCGATTGCCCGGTGCTGACGTCGAGCTGCACCCAAAGAGGCCGTCGAACCAGCCGAACGTTGCACGCTCATTTCACGGACAAATTCTGTTCAAGATTTTCTTCAAGGGTCGAACACACGTTTTTTTTGCGCCTCCACCTTTTCCTCGTTAACCGCAATGTACCCCCCCCCCTGTTACACACATCGACCTCCATGAGGGTTTCAACGAGAGAAAAAAAGCGAAGGCCACGATGACGGCCATGA